TCCTCTTTCTCTCCCTTTCGGCAGTTTGCTGATGTGCAGCCCGACTCTTCCATCGCCCGGTGGTAGCAGCAGCAGCAGCAAGAGCAGGAGAAGCAGCAGCAGCAGCAAGCGCGGCGGGAGCGGTAACGGGCTCGCCAACGGCGGGAGGCTGGGCAAGAGGCGCTTGACTCGAAGGAGCCTTCCGACGACGACGACGACGACTTGCGTGTGCCGCCGAGTCCCGGCAAGGAGAGCCCCCAGTTGCCCTCTGGAGGTGGTGGTGCTGAGGCGGCAGCGGCTCTGGCGGGAGAATTTGCAAGAGCACCGGCAGCCTCACCGGCGGCGGCGGCGGCGGCGGCAACAGCAGCGCCAGCGGGAGGAACCCAGGAAAGTTTGCTCGGCCTCTGACAGAAGCGGCGAGAGGAGCGAGACGCTGTGAGGCGGCGGGCGGGCAAGCGCCCTTGGTTCCCCCCTCCCTCCCCTTTGGCAACTTCCCTCCTCGGCTGAGCGGAGAAGACCCTTTCCTCCTCCTTCCTCCACCCGCGTGCTTGGCTCGCCAGGAGGGACGCGCCAGCTCCGGAGCTGACACTCCGCCGGGAGCCTAGAAAGTGCAGAAAGAGACCTTGCTTGCCCCTCCTCACAACTCCCGCGTGGCTGTCCCCGCGTGGACGGCTGTGAACCGCCTCGGGTTCAACTTGCCTCGCCCCCCCTCCATTTTGGCCAACTCCTACATCCACCCACCCCCAAACAAAACACACACGCGCACAAACACGCTGCCGCTCCGAGGTTCTTGACACCCGGCGCCGTGTGAGTGTGTGCGCGCGCGTCTCTTTTCTCTCTCGCCCACCCCCCCCCNAAATCTCGTTTCTGAGGAGGAGAATAAAAATGCTTCGCTGGAGCATGGCTTTGTGGCTGGCTGGGATGACCCTGTGGGGCAAGCTCGCCCGCTGCACCGGCCTCGACTATGACTACGCTTACGACTTCAACGAAGAGGATAAGACTGAAGCGATAGATTACAAAGATCCTTGCAAAGCCGGTAAGTGCCGCTCCACGTCGAGTCTTCCTCGGCGCCCCGCCGCCTTTGGACTCCTCTCTGCCTCAGCCTTCCCGTTTCCCCTCCAGACAGGAGCTGTCAGCGTGTGCGTGTGCGGCGTTTTTGTAGCTGGAGGGCTGTGTTTGTGTGTGTGTGTGTGTGTTTGTGTTTGGGGAGCGGAGGAAGCTCACCTGTTTCCTTCTCCTTGGGAAGCGAGTCGTGGGACAGAACGGGGCCGAGAGGAAGTGGGGAGAAGCCGGGAAAGGCGCAGTTGGGGCTCCGCCGAGCTTTGGCGCGAAAGCCACTCAGGGGGGCAGATTTCGAAGCACCGGGTGTTTTTTTTTTCCCTCGGGATTCGCCCGTCCTCCCCTGCCTCCAGCCCCCAACGTCGCCCACAGACAGGCGCGCTCTTTCCCCCTTTCGCGGTGGGCTGCTGGAAAAGCAATCTGCTTTCCAGGCGCGGGGAGAGGAAGACGCCGACCGCAAGCGGAAGAAACCAGGAGGCGGCTTCCCCCGTGCCCTTTGCTGACCCTGCTGGAGCCCCGCTTCTTCGGGCGGATGTCGCTGTAAAGCTGCTTGCCTGGGACTTGAGGCCGTTTAGGAGGCAGAACTTTTGATGGAACAGGGTCCCTTGCTTTTTTCCCCAGGGTGTTTGTATTCTAAAATAACTTTGGGAAATTGGTCTTGGCAGCTTAGAAATCGCTCCTTCAGCACCCAGGTGTGTAGAATTTGAAGGGTGGATAGGGAAAGGCCCTCTCTGGTCACGCTTAAGGCATACACCACCCCCCTTAAGGTTTATATGTACCTGGGGACTCTGCTCTGAAAAAAAAATGCCCTTTCTGCAACTAGGTCTAGGGCAAACCTATGGCATGTGTGCCACAGCTGGCACGCAGAGCCCTCTCTGTGGGCATTTGAGCCATACGTCTCCATTGAGAAATACTTACCTGTCCTATGATCCCGGGAAGGATCAGGAAGAAGTATTGGGAAGGGAGGGAGTGCCAAGACAGCAACGGCTGCTGCGCCCCCCTCATCCCTGGACACCGGGTATGGAAACACCCTGCCACACCTACACCTTTTAAGGGTTGCAGAGCAAGGAGTGTCCCGGGCAGGTGCAGGAGGTTTTGTGGCCCGAGGGACAGTCCTGGTTGGTTTTGTTTGGGCATTGGGGCTCAAAAAGGTTCACCATCACTGGTCTAAGGGATCCTTGATTGTATAATAGGAGTTTGCTCTGGATTCACATTTGTTTTGGGAGGGAAAGAATCAGCATACCTGACCTGGAGATTATAATGGTATTGGGTGTTCCAGCAAGTACAGTCAAGAGCTCTGCAGTGTGCAAGCAGAATCTGGTCCTTTGCAGTTGTTTATTCAAAACTAGAAGTCCTCCCTGCACCCAGCAAAACTTAACTGCCAGGCCATAATTAACATAGCATTTAACATCATTTTCGTTCATGGTGCTAAAAGAACTTCCAGCCGAAACAGTTTTGTCATTCTTTGTATTGTTGGCAAGTTTGAGCCTTGTGTGTGTGAACAAGGAATTTGTAGGGCTGGCTCTGCTCTGTTGCTTGCCCCTGCTTTCCCCTCTTCCCTCCATTTATAGGGAAATGCTGTCTTAGGATCACCCATTGGCAGCAGCCACTTCATATGAAAGTAGTAGAAAGCCTGTGGAGTCAGCAACTTTTGCAGAGGGAAGCAGGGCAGGGAGGTGCTCACTCTTCAGACAGTAACATCTGGAACCAGCAGGTGCTGTGCCTCTTTAGGAAATGCATGCCCTGGCTCTGTTTGTCTATAAACATAGCTTGGTATTGGCACGCAAGATGGTTAGCGCCCTTGCTGTAGCAACTGCTGCTATTCTCTTCCTTATCTGAATTAGGTTTAAGTGCTAATGGACACGGGAGAAACCTAGTATCCTCTAGATAAGTTTTTCTTTTGCTTTAGAGAGAAATACCATCTGATGCTGTCTTTTTTGACTGGAAATAAAAAAGTGTTTTTCTTTTGGCAACCTCTACCTTTTCCTGGCTGCTTTCTTACCTCCAGCTGCAGAATAGCATTTCCAGTGTATTGAGGGTCCAGATAGAGTCTCCTTTGCCAGTTCTGGTGTGATGAATTCATTTGCAGAATAAAATATTTGAAGGCATAAATGTGGAAGATATTATATTGGAACACAAAAGTGCAGGTGGATCTTGCAGGAAAGATCCTGGAGTAGCAATAACTGGAGATCAAGCATTCTATTCATGTATCATGCAATCCATTAGAAGTGGGAAATGTTAGAATTTTAGACTACAGCTGTCAAAATATACTATCAGGAATTCTGGGAGTTTTAGTCTCCAAAATGTAACATTTCTCATCTCATCTGTGTTTCGTTAAATTAAAAAAAAAAGTCATGACACTTCCTGCATAAATTTCTTCACATGTCTTTCCTGAGTTGTATGTAAAGAATTACATTGGATATTGCCCCAACAAGTCTCTTTTTCTGAGCCCAATCCTTTGTGGCATTATGTAGAAGGAAATCCTGGGTTCATCTGGGTATACTCCCCTTATGTAGTCATGATCTGACAGTTCAGTCATCAGATGCTGGGCCTGGAGGGGAAGTCAGAGCAATCAAGACCAGGAAACAATGTAATTTGTTTTTCAAGTATTGCTCCCCAAAATTGAGAAGTAAGAAACATTGATTCTTCCAAAGGCACTTCAGCTATTTGAATGCATTTTTGGCTCAAACACTGAGCTAGAGAAATTACCTACAAAAACAGAGGTCTTCCCCACAAAATCAAATAGTTTAAAAAACACTGGAAAAAATGGCATTTACGTTGAATTGCATCTTTAGGATACTCAGTGTTGTGTAGTGGATAGAATAATGGTCTAGGATTCAGGAGACCATGGGTTCCATGGTTCAGCGATGGAAACTCAAGGGGTGGTGGTAGTAGAAGTGGTAAAACCACTCCTTAAATACCTCACTTACTTTGAAAACTCTTATCAGGGTCACTATAACTCAGTTCTAACTTGATTGGATATAAAACTTGCAAGAGCATCTTCAGTTAATAAATTGTGAGTGACACAAGATGCTAGTTGGATTAAAAGCAATTTTGCTGCCTTAGGAAAAGTCTCCACTATGGGAAAAAAATCTCATTATGGGGAAAAACATATTTGGTGTGAAGATTCTAAGATTCTTTCCCATTTTTTTTTTTTTTTTTTGTCCACTCAGGTTTTGGAGTAGTTCTTGTTTGAGCTAGAAAGCAATACTCAGATGCTTGACTGGAGGAAAGAATGTGAGGAAGATCCTGCCTCGTACCTCTCTCAGAAATTGCTTCCATCTTTGCAGTGACAAACCTGAAATTGGTCAACCCACTTGTAGAGATGAGACTGTCTATTGAATTGATTCTAATCTTACAGATTCATTTATGTATCTTTAGGAAGGTTTTCAGCATAGTGTTCTTTTAAAAAAAGAGAATAGTTGTGGGTAAATGCCATGGGGTTGGATAGTAAGGTAAAATGTTCACTATTGTCCTATGAATTATGTGTTACATTGGTAGTTAAGGCATTTGGTTTTTTGAGGTGTATCTGGTTGGAAGGCTATGACGAAGCACCTGTGTGCCCACTCTTCCTATAGTGTTCTTAGATAACTTCTTGATGAGTTTCCATTGGAGAGTTGAGTTGGTATGCCAGATTCCTATATAAGTAGAAGATTTCTCTTTTTCCAGGCTCCAGTGAAACATCTGCTGAATTGCATGACATGTGTTTTAGATTTATAGGTTCTTTGAGTGGCTTGCGTTTGTTAATACTAGGTCTGTTCAGTGGCTTTCCTGGCATCAGGAACTGGGGTCATGGTTTCCTAAATCAAAATGCTGTACCTTTGTAGTTTGTCTTCATATTATGTATGTGCAAAATTCATTATGAAAAACTGTTGTAAACAGCACAGGCCCACGTGCTGCAGTTGCTGTATAAAACAAGTGTGAGCATTGCACTCACTCCTTTTTATTAACTTCTCTGTTCCATGAGATTTAGTTCAGCCAAAGTCTGTGTTCTTTTTGGCCACAATCTTCCAATTATTTATACTTTAGTAAAGAACGGGGGAAAGTGGTTTGAGTTCTGAGTAGTGATGGGCGTTCTTCAGAAATAAGTGATTTGAGGATTGGCCTCAGTTAGGTATATGTTGCTAAGTTGCTTTTAGTCAGAATTATTTAGGCGTATGTGTTAACCATGCCAAATATGCTGCATATCATATAATTCCTTTCCTAATCTTAAAAATATGTATCACCTTGGTATAAAATGTTAGAAAATCATTGCTTGAGACTTAGGAATGTACAGGAGTAGAATGAACTTGCTTGTCTTTGGGATTGCTTATATGCAACAAAACATTAGATACTTTCTCAGCATGCTTTGTTTAGGTTTCTGATCAGCCCAATAATATACTCTTTTACACACACATAAGCCCCACTGAGTTCAATGTGACTCATTCCCAAATAGGTGTACCTGAAAATTAAGTTTTGCAGCTTGGTCCAGAATGATTTACTTCATTGGTTCTTAACCTTTGTTACTTGGATGCTTTTGAACTGCAACTCCCAGAAACCCCAGTCAGGACAGCTGGTGGTGAAGGCTTCTGGGAGTTGCAGTCCAAAACTCCTGAGTAACCCAAGGTTAAGAACCAGTGATTTACTTCACCATAAGCCAAGAACCTGGGACTTACTTCTGAGTAGGTATGCTTAGGTTAGTAACCTAATAGTGTAATTATAATACAGGTCTAATAAGTCAGACATGACTCTCGCTGGATTTCATGGGACTTAAATCCCGGTTACCTGGAATTGAAACCAACAGAATTTAGTGGCATTTATATTTAAATGAACATATATGGTGTTAGAAAGGAAAGTTTCTCATTTTGTATTTCAAAGGATCTCTTAAATAATCAGCACACAATGAAATGATTGAGACCTTTCTCTGTCACAGAACAGTTTTACTAAAAATTTCAAGATGTGGAAACAATATAAAGAAAAGGTGTGAAAATATATTGG